CCTAACAGTTTTATTTTTGATTCGACGAACAACCCCTAATTAAAGCGACGGTTATGCATAAAGACGTGTATTGTTGTTTTACTGCCGCGATTGACTGACGGCGGACAGTAGTGATTCAGACGTATAGACCAGTGATACCGCATACGATTCACCGTACTATGGGGCACTAACAGTCCCGGGGTCTCTCAGACAAGTTATGGTTGCGGGGAGAAATAGATATGGACTGCATCACAGGGGACCGGTCAGATTTTATGTGAAGGCGCACGACAGTCTCAGTGTACAGTTTATGAGTGAATAAAAACAAAGAGAATGAACTTATTTTTTTAAATATACCCATGTTACGATAAAAGAAGATCTTCGGAAAATTGAGTTGCACTCGTGAATTTTCGTCGTCAGACTAAATGAAAAGTGCGAGCTGGGATTGTCGCACTAGAGATTTCGGGGGCAGATGTTACGATAAACGCGGTGGCGTTGGGAGGGGGGGCTACGGTGACGTTACTCCTGCGGCGATCGGTCGTGCTGGTGAGGGGATGACGAACAAGTGATACCTGTTCAAAAATTCACGAGTAAAACTCGATTTTCCGAAGATCTTTCTTTTCATCATATCATCTCGGAATGCAACTTACTTCACTTATCCAAAAAACTGTTTTTGGCAAACAGCTGTTTTTTATCAGTCATCATTAGGCCTTTAAATTACATGGCAAATAAGTTAGTCAAGTGTGGAAGATTTATATGGTTCGGAAGGGCGTATTAGTCATCGCTTCGTGCTCTCGTTTCTTGCATGACGGGGTAGGCACGTTGACGTTGGAGTGTGGAGTGCGGAAGAAGGCGGAGGGCATGTTCACGGCAGGCTGCGTTTTCGTTCTGTTCGCCAAACATACGGCATGCGTCTAACTGATGTCTGTGGCTTCGGACCGCATGTGATTCCCGCCGTAGTCGGCCAAGAAAGACAAACCGCCTATGTCAACATATTTTGCTAAACGAATTGCCGCTACCTGAGCTGTGACTAGCACCCTTTAGCATATGCCTTTGGGGTAGCGTGCCAGGGCCTGGTATATGATATTTTTGTAGAATAGATTATTATGATTTTCTTCAGGCGTTTTGATGGATTTTGCAGCATGTGTCTGACCCTGCTGTGCAGAACTCTGTGGCTTCGTTGGGGTTCGAATCCTACGTCAGGAGGTTTAAGGTTCGTCTACAGCACAACGGTCTAACCAGCTGATGTTAGAGCCGAAAGTCGAATCAGATTCGGGTCAGTGTATCAGTCAAGTTAATGCAATGCAAGCAAATCACACATTCTGTTGCATTAAGCTGACTGTGGAGGGAGGATTTCGTAAGCAGTTGCTCTCGGAATCGATATTTTTTTCGACTTCTACCGGGGTTGCTAATGTTTACATAAACTGCTCACATAAATAATAGAAACCTGCCAACAACTTTTAGTACGAATTGAGCCGACCAGTAAGCTCTTTCGTTCCAGATTAACTACTTAGGTAATTCTACAGAAGCAATCTGCCTACTGTTCGGGGTAGTATAGCGAATGAATCCTATACCTACTGCAGGACTTGCACAAACAGTGCTGTATCTGAGGTCTTCATTGATGATGGATTTAGATGTGGATCCGAGAAGCCGGGTGTATCTAACTGTTGACAAGGAGCTGATGTGGTCGCTGTGACATGAACTTATTCGCCGGGCGTTTCAAAGTCCATCGCGGATCCATCATCAGAGACAATAGGAGAAATGATTAATTTATGCATACAAAGTTGCAGTATTTAGAAAATACAGTCGCTATGGTATTGCATACCCATGACAATCAACGGCTCCGTCCCATCGTTGTTAGCTGCCCGGTTGTGCGCTAATTGGTTGAAGGCCGGCGTGCGGGTCTTGCCGTGGGGAACATTCATCCCCGTAGTAGATTTGGGCGTAATGGTTATTCTGTCACCTCGCTGCCTAGCGCAGGCAGTGGACGACGCGTTGACTTATGCGTGCCCTGTGTGACCAATTGTTTTAGCCAAACCGGGCCTGAACACCAGATATGAATTGGGCAGGTGTTTGCGCTTGTTTAGACTGGGACTCGTGGACCATAACTCAAATAATTTGCGACTCACGGGATTTTGATCGCTCGCGAAATTGTCGATTTCATCAAATTTGAATGTGTGACCGAGTATCATCGAAATAGCCGCGACTTGGGAATTAGCGTCATTCCTCCGTACTGCTGCCACGTGTGTGGCAATTTGGGACTTGAGGAACCTTCCAGTTTTCCGATGTAGTTGTTTAGCCCGCAACTGCGCCAGGTTCTGTAGACAACTCCAGATGTTTCTTGCCGTGGCAGTGGGTCTTTTGGTTTCATTATCCAACTCTTCTTCCAGTGATCACGCATCTTTCTTCTTACCACCAAAACATTTGGTTAGAATAAGCAAATTTCGATCTAAGTTTCCCCGATGATGAGATAGTATGATTATCTAAGATATGATCTGCGGAGATGGGTTCAAGCGCTGATCTGTTTCAAAACACTTGCCTATGTAGACATATGAAGCCAACCGTAAGTAAGTATTCTCCCTCACATCCTATTCATTTTTGTGTCCATAACACAATATATGTCTTCCCTTATTTAGAAGTTAACAAGATATAAATAATTTGTGTGCCTTTTCCATGGTATTCCAGTTTTTGAGGATTATGCGGCAGATTATGCCGCTAACAATCAACAGAATGCGGTGGTTGATGACAAGGGAGAGACACCAGCGCCACCCAAATGCTCCTTTTCTTTCTGCAAACGCTTATGCCCACCTTTCAAGGAATTAGTCCAGGGCACAAAGGTGCTGGCGGAGCGTATGCCCAGTGATTACATTGACGCATTTACAAAAGACAATGTTGGCACCATGCTAAGCAGCATTCTCTTCATCTACTTCGTCGTATTCGGCCCGGCAATCACATTTGGAAACCTAATGTGTAAGTAGGTATTCGGTATGCATAGTTGCATTTGTGAAAATGAGAAAAACCAGAGCTCCGCTGTTTGAATTGATTAGAGCCGTCTGTCAGTTATTCCTTAAATGCTATCCTCAGCGGGCATACATTTGAATGGAGTGGAACCGACAAAGACATGGGAGACGGCAACGGCCATTTCTGGCTTATTAGCCGTCATCAAGCAGACATGCCCGATGCCAAGTGTTGATCACACGAGGCTCACACCCTCAAATATTTCATCATGGAGTGTGACTCTCTATCATTGAGATACGGACCCGTTGCACGTCGGTTCTACTCCCTCATATATGACATGTCGTTATGCAACTGGCTACGAGGGCTCTAGATTGAATTCCAAGGTACAACAAGACGAGCATCTTCCCTAAATTTCGATCATAAATTAAAGTTTCGCAGATGCGCCATCGAATGCTCCATCAGCTGACATCCATGCCATGACAGAAAGGAAATAATTAGAAATATTTGCTATACTTCCCAACGAAGTGTCGACGTTGATTTTATTGATGATGACGCAAGGGATTCGAACCTGTCCCAATAGGCAAGATATGCGCCACCCGCTAGTTGCGCTATCCTTCAGAAGCTGCGCGCAGGAAGTGGTGTTCCTCCATAATCTTTTCTGCGGTTTGACACAGTTTTTTGTTCAGAAGAAGAAGATGCGATCACTGGAACAAGGAATTTATTTTCCTGACTTTTCGG